GGGGGAGCAGGGCCGGGCGTGCGGTGAAGGTGGGGAATGGAGTTTGAGGGGGCGGGTCAGGGGTGTTGAGGTGCGTTTTGGGGGTAGCCTGCTCTCGGCCGGCGGGTCTGTGAGGAATTTATGGGTGGGACGTTGTGACAGGAGTCAGTGCATAGCGAGGAGAACGAGGTGAGGTTGATGTGGGGCTATGGCTTTTGACCTGCTGGCACTTAAAAGATGCGCTATTTTAAATACAGCGGTCAAAAGGAGGTTATATTAAACCCGGACCCTTTCTCTCATACTCCCTCTTAAGTGAGTTTTCGTCTTGCTTAATTGGAGGATTTATCTGGTTGTTGAACTGAGCCTTACGGAGTAGTATGGTTTTGAACTGTTGTCCGCACAGTAGGCTTGGAGAAATGGTGCTTCTCTCTCGGTGCTTGTGTCAGAAATGTCCTGAAGTTAAAGCATATCTTCAGCGTGCGTTTTGTGCCTTTTCTTTCTGTGCTGATTACAGAGAAGTGGTAAAATCTGGAGTGAAAGGCAGTCTTCTGAGTCTTGCAACACCTTGCAACACCTTTTCTGCAGGTTTCAACATAAGTGCTAGGGATCATCGGTATCAGACTGATTTCTGATAATGTTTATTATCATGATTGGATTCGCTGTCTTCAAAATACCAGCACTAGCATTATGCCTCAAGGTGCCACACTCCCTGTGGTTTGCGCTGTTGAAATGTGCACCACGCTATTTCACTGCATAGTAAAGAGCTTTCTTTGTTAAGACTGTGCTGGGAGACATCTCTGCCTCTCCTGTGGAGATGAAGTGAGGGCTAGTTCTGTTACCTTTGTATTACTGGGGAACTAAGCATTTTTTTTTAAGGTGTCCTTACATGCTGCCTTAAAGAGGTGCTTTTTAAGCATCATCACACTATTGGTTGATGATGTTACCCAGTTACCTTGAAATGGTACTTAATTTGATCTGCATTAATTTTTCTCAAGCAAAATACAAATAACAAAAGTGTGTGTCCATAACGCCCTAAATAGAAAACAAGGCTGCAAATCTCTACAAAGCACATGTGAGAAAATGAAGAAAGAGCTATGGCTTAAGTCTGTTTGAGTAACCTTCCTTACCTGCAGACTTGCTGGCTAGTCCTGACAAGAAGATGACCAGAAACTATTTCCATGTATACCTTGAGCTTTAGGCTGTTTTTTTTTTTTTTTTGAGGGGGGCTGGCTGGACAGAGAATGCCTGTAGGAGCAGTGACAGATAATGCCAGTCATGATGTACATTGTTTTTATAACCAGTGTCCTTTGAAGCCTTCTGGACAGATTTAAACCTTTCATCTGGAAACTTGTGCCCTTTTCCCCCCAACCCTATCAGGAAATGGTCTGGTCATTCTTTGTGAAGAAAAATAAGTGAAGTGGTGTCAGCTTGAACAGTAGATCCCAAGTGTTCCTCAGTGAGTTAGAATCTCCCCCTCCCGCAATTAGCGTATTTAGCAAAAATACAGTCTTTTACTGGACCTTATTCTATATCAGTGTGTGTATTAATAAGCACTTAAGTTGGTAAATGTAACTGTGCTACTGTGATTTAATTTTTTGTGTTAATCGGTAGTTGCGTGTGCCATTTTTGTGAACTCTGCATTAGTCAGGTGGTTGTGCAGATGACTGGAGTTCTTAATTTAAAAAATCAGGAGACTTCGGAGACTAATATCTTTACATGTATTGTTTTAAGATGGCCACTGATTGAAGGTGAAGCTCCCATTCCTAGGGATATGTAGTTGCAGCACTTCCTTCTGGAAGAATTCAGCTCCTCTTTTTTTTTTTTTTTTTTTTAGTTTTATGTATAGTTTCACAAGACAGCCTGAGCCAAATGAGCAGCTTGCTGCTCTTTACTCCCGCTAGTTATTTTGAGTTGATTCTGGTGTTTGTTTCATCACATGAGAGGCCAAATTCCACTCAGTAAAATAGCAACAAAGAAAAAAAAACACCTGGCAAGATGTTAACTTTTTTTTTGGCTGGTTGAGGGTGTTGAATTGGTTTATGTTAAAGCAGATGAGCAGCAGAGGTGGTATGAGGAAGGAATGGCTTCTGCTGGGATGCTCAGATTATGGAAGGAGGGAACTGGGAGCGGGACCTCCTTGCCTGCTTGGCAGGGGAAGCTAGTAATTTGCTTATCCATAATATGATATTGCATGCCTACTGGATTTGCACTAGGAATTAATTTGGTGTGGTCTGTTTTAGTCTAGGTAGTAGCAATTGCTGAAGCCTTAAAGCTGTCCTGAGTCTGTGGGTGTGACAGAAGAAAGTAGACTGGTTGTAGTGTGAGTGCTTGCCATTAATTTGGCACCTCCATTGTTTTTCTCTGTAGAATGAGTCCTCCTGCCTCCAAATGCTGAAAAAAACAGAAGGCTTGAGTTCCTGCCTAGTTTTTTCCTCTCCTTTCTGAGCTAGGATTCTACAGCGTGTGGTAGTGCCACAGGGAAGCCTCTGTTCTGCTGTCTGTAGTCTGCAGTTAGGAATTAATCTCATGAGGCTATCATCCTTTCCTTCAGACTCTGTAGGGTTAAAAAGCAGAGCATTACATTTGCTTACTGCTAGGCAAAATTACAGCCACACATACAGTAAGATTATTTTTGTGGTTTTAGGAGCAAGCATTTTTTTGTAATCAAGACCGGCTGAAACATCTTTAAATCACATAATTGATAAATGAGGCAGCTGTGAGCAGAGGCAGCAAAAGTGATGTCTGAAAGCTACTTTGCTGACTCCACAACTCTCAGGCTATTTTCCCTTCTGCAGGAAGGAGAGGGAACCTTGTGGACTTTTTTTTGATTGTTCTTTTCCTGGCACAGTGGGATCTTGTTGCTAAGAAGCACCTGACATCAGTCATTTCTCTCTCTTGCAAGAACTTCAAGACTGTATCTTCTAGTCAGTGACTAATAAACACACATCCTACAAGATATCTCCATGATGTTATTAAAAAACTAGCATAACTGTAATTTTAATTTTGTTAGCTGAGGGATGTTTTATTTTGTCTCTGCAGGTTGCAGTGTTGTTATTGCCTCTCGTAAATTTGACCGATTAAAAGCTGCTGCAGAAGAACTGAATAATAAATTTTCTTCCATGATTCCTGCCAGAGTGACTCCCATGCAGTGCAATATCCGCAAAGAAGATGAGGTAAAGACTAGTGATCTTGTTCTGGGGCTTAACATGTCAAAAGCATATTGTGTATATAAACTCTCAGATCTCCAGAGGTCTTCTCTGGCCCCCTCAAAAGTGGCTTAGATCAGGGGACAGGTGCAGTAAAGCACTGTTAAATTGATCTAGATAAAGATGTGCTTTCCAAGGGAAGACCATTTGTTAGCCACTTAAGCAAGAAAGCATTTGTAATTGCAAATATTTTTCTGGCCATGCATATGTATTTCAGATATTTCTGGGAGAAGCAGGCCTTGGAACTGGCATGTTCTACAGCCGAGCCAGAGCCCGCTTAGCATGGTTCTGTGTCACATTTCTGTGACAGCAGTGAGGGGGCGTTAACTTGTGAAGATGGAGACCTCAGAATAGTTCCTTCAAACAGGAAGTCATAGCATGGAATCTCAATGCTTGTGACTTGACACAAGTGCCCTGCATTGTCAGTTTTGCTTGTATAAAAGCAAAAAAACCCCACAGATATTATTATTTTTAGCCGTATTTCAAATTTTGGTTACAACGTGAGGTGTGCCTCATTACAAACTCTGTTACTATCCCAGCTGAGTTGTTTCTTTTTTTTGCATATTACAAAAAATGGAAGACCAAGAGCAAAAGTATTTAATCCAGGTTCTTCAGAAGTCTGCATTCACTTCCTAATTTTTTAATATGTGTAATTAAACATTTAGAAGTCCAGCATCAGGTTGGACTTTTAACTTATTGAAGACAGCTAGAAAATATTCCAGTAACCACTGATTGCTACATTTTTCTTAACCTTTTAAAGTCTCTGTTAAATTCTAGCATAACTTAAAGAAATATTAATTTCCTTCAGTAGCTATGTAGATTCTGGAAATATCCTAATATACAACCATAAAGCAAATAAAAAATAGAATTCTTCCCTCATGGAACAGCTCATGCCATAAAATATTTATAGTGATATATTTAGACTTCTACTCCTGCAGGAGATGAACCCTGGGGCTGTGCAGTATGTCACTTCACCTATCAGTGAATTTTAGGTTTGCATTTACTAGCATCAGCAGTGCGATATAATAGGTTATGACAGATGTCAGAGGGCAACTTACATGATTAAAGCTACAGGAAAGAAAAGAGGTAAAGAGAGAAAAGGCTTAAGCGTTCTTTCAAGTCACTGTTCTTGCAGAAAGTACTCTGGCATGCTTAATAACCTTCTGCAGGTGAATCTTATTTCTGCATCAGCTTAAAAATGATTTAGTGGGAACTGCAGTGTTCTGAGAGATGGTAGAGGACTTGGATGGTGAAATGAGGTAATTGCCATTAAACAAACTACCATTCCTTCTTTGTTTCCTGTTTATTAAGTGTGGCTAAATACATATTTCACAAAACAGTCTTAGATGGCTTTGGAAACTTTTTTGAAGGTGCTTTTAAGGCCTTTTTTATAGTCCTGTGTAAAGTATTTAGGCATTATTCTGTGTTACCGGTAGCCATGCTGATACTTGGAGAAACTTCTGTCTTTGCTATTACCCTGCAGTTTCATCATAGAATTGTCTTGTTTCCAGTTTGGTTTTAAGCTCTACTCATTTACAGATACACCAGAACTTTCTTGGAACCTTTCATACGATATTGGAGAAGCCTCTATCAGGTGTCTCCTGCCAGTGGAAGTTCTCATAAACCATAGTCATTTCATATCCATATCTATTGAAGAGAGGGTTCAGAGAAATAAGGTAAATTAAACCCCAGTCTTGAATCTTTCAGTCATTGACTCAGTCTTACAGTTTGACTCACTTCAGTTCTCCAACTGCTCTTTCTTCTTTCTGTTGAAGTCCTATTTAGAAAAAAATCAATATGAAAATTTTGTAAGCCTTTCGTGGAAGTTTTGAATAAGAAATGCAATTTCTGTTGCATGTTAATGTAAGAACTTAAATGTACCTGCTAAACAAATATTTATCCATTCCAGATGCCCATCTCCAAGACTAGAATTAGAGACATCCTGTGATTTTTGTTCTTTAGCTCATGTTTTTCTTGCTGTTAGTTCTTTAATGCTGAGATTCTCAAAGATTGCTAAATCCTGGCCACTTGTTACTTAATTTCTAAAATTACTATTGAGCCAGAAATGTGTGGATCACATTTTCAGCTTTTAAGTTTGTAGTGAGGATAGCACTTCCTTACATTTAGGTGCTTAGTGTGTGTAAGTTGAAGCTAGATAAACTGAAATTAACAATCGGTAACTTACACTGCTAAAAACTGTCAGAACTTAGAACTGAGGGATGTGACAGATTTTCCACAACCCACTGCTCACTATTGCTCATTTATTATATTTGCTAAGAGCAGCAATGGCAGGTGCTTTTTTCTAATTTGCACTTGATTGTCTTGCGGAGACTAGAGGAAAAGTACCTTTGGGCTTTTTACCTCTACTAAAAGAGCATCGTACATCCACTTTCAAAATCTATTCCATTCTTAACCTAAAGTTTAGTGCTTGGGACTTGGAGTCTTAGGAACAGGGATCAGTAAAAGAAGTAGTGTAGGATTTTTCTAGCCTAGGAGGTAAATCTTGAGTAGAGGCAACACAGCAATATAACTCACTTCATCATTTTCACGAATACAGGAGTAGCTTCCTGTTCACAGTGGAAGATGGGGTGAGAGGACATATAAACTTTTGGCTTCCCTCCCAAAAGAAACAAGATTTGTACAACTGCGTTGGCTCTGTATGCTACCCATTAATAGCTTTACAACTCATTGTCTGGTTTCAGCTTAGTATGAGTGAAGACTATTTACCTCAGAAATTCACGGAAGCACATTGCTGGGTAGAGAGGACAGCCTCTACAAGTATTCCCTGTGAGTCATTACATCCTCTTTCTCAGCTCTTATACCAGGTACCAAAGAATGTGTGAAGGAGAAAGACCTTATAAATGTTTCAACAAGGGAAAAAACTTAGGAGTTCAAGCTTCCTTAGATGTCAGAACTGATCCATCACAAGCTACAAAGCCCAGGAAGCTTCCTCAAGAAATACATAATTCATTTAGTATATCCTTCTCTTTGACATCGCACTGAAACCTTTCTAAGAGTAAGTCTTTCTCTTAAAGGAAGACACCTTCATCACCTGTAGGAGCAAGCCATCTGTTCTTACTGTAGCATGCCTTTTTTTTTTTTTCCATCCCTCCATCTCCATCAGCATTTCTCTAAAGGCCCCTATGAGTTTTGTCCTGGTTTTAATTTTATAATCAGGCAAACTGGAGGGAGGGCTTTGGATAGAGGAGATCTAAGAAAGATGAAAGTGCTTTCAAAATTGCTAGATGATTATTTTCTTTTTTGCCTCCTATTGCAAATCTTAAAGTAACTGACCTGCTTTGAAGATGACACCTCTTGTGTGCCCTAGTTTGGATCTGTGAAATTCAAACATTAGAAGATTCATCCCTCATCGTATAATGCAATATGTCTGTTAGACCTTTTTCTGGCCTAGGAAGAGTCAAAGAAGGTGCAATGAATTAATTGCTGCAGAAGCTTGATGGCAGATATCGTGGGAATAGCTTAATGAATTCACATTTTTAAGTCTCTTAATCTTCATCCTCAGAGGCCCTCTTGCTTTCTAGCAAAGCTTACTTTTCATTTAATGTGCAAGAAATAATCTTGCTTGATGGAGGATTTTCAACCACTGCATAAACTGTCAGGCTTATTTCTGTCACAAGTTTGCTGCTGCTGCTTTTGGCTAGTTTTCCACTGAGTGTTTTGTAAAGGGTAACAAACCTGTTTTGTTTTTAAAGATGGAAGAGTAGAGGGTTCTGGCATGCCGGTAAGAGCACCTGAGATTTCTATGTTCTGTCTTCATGCGGCCTTATCCTGAAGCAGTGATTGTGCACTTGTCCCTTATCCTGTGGTCTGGAGTGTATATAGTGATCAATATTGCTTCTTAGGGATTATGAAGCTGAAGTGATTTTAATTATTTGGATATTTTCTAGCACTGCCCACATAATGTGTTGAATATATCAAGAGCAGGTCACTTTGCTCTTGCTGAGATGCAGGCCAGACAGTTCTGTGTGTGTATCTTTTCAAACCAAGCTCGTTTTCTAAAATCGAAGGATCTAATTAACTAATTCCAGTGCCTCAATGTAGTGGTGGCCAGAGTGGAGGAGAGGACCCCATCCTTTTTTCATTATGAAAGGAGCTTTCTATTTATCTTTGTAGGTGTTGGGAAGGGGAAGCATGGGTTTGTGTGTCTTAAATATTGAGCTACAGCAAATCTATTGACAGGGGAAAGAAAGACACAAGGAACTTTTTACCCTTGTAAAGCCTTTGTGCTATATGCTCTGGACAAACATTTCTTTAACTGGCATCTAGATAAGTAGAAGACTATCTAGATAAGTGGAAGATAAAACCTTGTACTTCTAGTAGGCCACTGCTCTTCTTGAAATCAGCAATTCAGAATTCTGTGCACAGTGTCCCCTTTCCATATTCAAGCTCCAGCAACAACAACTGCTGTTGGACCAGACCCCGAGGGTAAAACCTATCACTTGGACATCTGACAAACAAGACACCTTGAGATGGACTCAATACAGTACTATTTACTCAGACACACTTACCTTGTGTCTGAGTTCACTAGTATCTTTTCTTTTCCAATAAACTTTATAGCTTAGCATAGTCTCAATTGGTTTACAAATACTTAATGCCTGTCTGTGTGAAGCCTGCAGTGGAAGACTGTGACTTGGTGGGGAGCTGTGGATAAGAGATTCTTGTTGTCATACTTTAAAATAACACAGCAATAACACAAAGTAAAAATACCTGTTATCACTGTGCAAGAATGCCCACTAGTTCTAGTCCCCAAATAGCAAATCTCTAACACTCTGTAGTGGGTAGTTTGCCTGTTGAGTTTTACTCAAGTCCAAGGTGACCTGTGAATGCATGTGAACATTTGTCCCTTTTGTCAGTGAGTACTGTCATCTCAGTTATCTGTGGAAGTGTGCTACTGCATAATATTTTTGAGTTGCAGTCATACAAAAGGGTCCTTACTGAAGAGCTCCAGTCTTCCGGTCATGTGTGAAGTGTCTGATTTTTATTCTTTTCGGTCTTTTTCAGAAGAACGTCCTAAACTCTACCTTGTGCAATTTTGCTTTGCTTCCAGAGAGTCTTTAGTAGCTTTTTTATGAGGTTCCTCCTGTGTGGATTTTGGATATTTAGGAATAGAAAGGAATCTTCTGTAGTTCTCACTGTGATTTAAATGTGTTCTGCCAGACCCTGTTCTCATTGTGCTGGTGGCTGCTGTCACCATGTTTACTGTAACTGGGAGAAGCACTGCAACGATGCTTTCTCTACAACACAGAAGACATTGTGAAGATTGCTACAGTTGGAGCCATCTGAGCTGTCACTGGAGAGCCTGCTAGCCTTTGCTGGCTTTTGGAAAGCAGAACTGATAGGCGTTTGTTTCTTTTTTTAATTGCCCTAAGAATATGGTGCAACAAGTGGGAACAACAACAGAGTTTCTTAAGATACAACATGTGAGACATTTTGAATTGATATGTCATAGCAGGTTTTGTCCTCCTGTTGAAAACTTGCTTGTAATGTCTCTTCTCAGTGCGTTTTTCTTCTGTTAATTTGTCGTTTGTTGGGTTTTTTTAAGATTCTTAGCATTTTCCCTTTTCTCTCCCTCTCTCCCCTCCGCCCCCCCCGGCCTGAATAGTCTTAATCTGTTCAAACATTCCTTGTACTGAAACCATTTCACTTCCATAAATGAGCCCATACTTCAGTGACTTACGGAGAACAATATTCAAAGCAAGATTCTCAGACTGACAGGGAGAAGAGTTTGAATTGCTGAGCAAAGCATAACTTCTGCTGCCTAGTGAGGCATAACCTACTTTTCTCTGGTTGTGAGCAAACCTGGAAGTCTTTGTGGCATGGTGTTTCTCACAAGTTTGGGACTGCTGTCACAGATGTTTTGGTTTTTTGGTGGTGTTTTTTTTTTTTCTCAGATCCCACAAGCTGCAGTGACTGATGTGAAGAATAAGATGACATTCAGAACTTAAAGGTGGTGATTTAGGTATCAAAATTATTTTCTTAAGGCATTTTTTCTCCGCAGGCATTAGTTTTTCAATCAGGCTTCAGTCACTATATGTTTGTTTAGGTTTTCTTCTTCAGAGGTGCATCCTTACAGGATCCATACTATCCTGTTAAACCATCCTGAACTGTTAGCAGCAAAAGCTATAAGGCAGCTATTTATGAGACTGAGTTGGTGACGCTCTTGGTGAGATAGAGATCATGCATTGCTTGTTTTTTTATTTCTGATGTTTTCTACTGGTAACTCAATACAGAGGAAGGCTGATTGATATCCTTCCCCTAGTCAAATCTGTTTCAGCAGCAGCATTGCTCCTGCTGTTTGTTTTTTGAGGGTTTTTTGGTCTGTGTTTTCTTTGACCACAGATGCTAGATTAACTTTTTATATATGCTTGAGCAGGAATAACTGGGGCATGGTACCTAGTTGTGATAGGTAATGTAAGCAGGAAACAGCTATGTTGTCCCATTTCCCCTGTTTCTTGAGATAAAGGTTAAATTATTAAGCAGTTGCTATAGAGTTCTTATTACTATCTTGTAATAGGAAAAATACGTCAGCTTTAGTATCTGTAAAATCCTTGAATGCTTTGAAATACATTCCCCTCCAGAAGTTCTCTTGTGTTTAGTGTGAGTGTGTGGCGAAACTACTGTACTTCCAAAACAGAAGACAGTGCAAAAGGCTTAGCTTACAGCCTGTAGCTCAGGTTAGATCAGTGTTAGAGCTAGGTTTAGATTTTCAAAATCTCCTTCATCCCATATGAACTTAAGCCACTCCTTTTCTGCACTGACAGCTCTTTGAGTGCGTGAATGCAAATGTCTATTGCTATTTGCTGTTAATACCTTCTCAGAGTACCCAAAGGTAAATAGTGCCAGACAGTGCTCTTAATCATAAGTATTCATCATGCTTATAGACAGAAGGTATCTGCTTAGTCAAATATTCACCTTTCTTTTGCTAAAGAAGACAACTTGTAGTATTTCCAGCACTTTCTAGAGTTCACGTTTTGTAGGGTAACAAACTAACCTTCTTGGTCTGCGTAAGAAGATTGGCTGTTGCCAACTCACATGTCAGAGCTTTAGTGAATGTACAAAACTGAAGTATAAAACTTAGTAAATGTACAAAACATAAGAATGTTAAAACTTCACAAGATGACTTATGTTTTCTATTTTAAATGCTCAGGTATATGGGTCAGATTAAAAAAACAGTAGCTACCTTACATGGAACTCCTCCAGCACCTGATGTGAACACCCCCACCCTTGTGAAAAATGTCAGGAGCTTCTTAGTAGGTCTTAAGTAGCAGGCTTTTGTGTGTGTTTGTTTCTACCAACCTTCAGCAGCTTAAATCCCCTTCTTCTTTCAGTGCTGGTATTTTATGTAGCACCTGCATTATACCAGGAAGATTTCCTAAGTAAACATGGACTCGGCCCAATCCTTCTTGGCTGACTAAACCTGTCATACCGATCTTCCAGCCTGTCCAAAGGCTGGTACCTCCTCTTTATATGTGAAAAGGGTATGAGAGAGAAAATACTGTCCGAGAAGGAAATTTGGTATATAGCTTAATCAGCTTACCACACTAACAAATACTGTTTCAGGTAGAAGCTTTGGTGAAGTCTACACTGAGTCTGCACGGGAAGATTGACTTCCTGGTGAATAATGGAGGGGGCCAGTTCGCAAGTCTTTCTGAAGCCATCCGTGCAAAAGGCTGGAATGCTGTGATAGACACGAATCTGACAGGGACCTTCTACTGCTGCAAAGCAGGTAAGGGCTGAACATTAAGATTTTTTTGTTTATTTGGTTTGTTTTCTACAGCAATACCAGAAGACAAGACATGTAAGGTTCCCCTACCTTCTTTTTTCACACACTTATCTGACAGCGGATATTTGTATTCATGAATCTCATCCAAAGCTTTACATTAAACTGTACGTTACATTTGTTCATATATACAAACATACATTTAGGCAAATATGATCTTCTGGTTAAGGCCAGGTTTGGGGAATCAGTTGGCTTGGATACTCACTTAAAAGACTATAGGAAAACCACTTAACTTCTGTGGCCTGTATTCACTGTGTGTAACACAGGAAAAAATTTCTCTCCCATCAGGGATGTAAATTTAAAGTTAAATCTAAGTATGATACATGATTCTCAGATAGCATTGGGAACATGGAAATGAAAGTAATTTACGTGGAAGCATGAAATGTTGATTTCCACTAAAAGGCTTCTTAACAAACATTGAGCCGTACCTGGACCACACCTGTTATCTCACGAATCCAGTGGTGAGGCTATGGTACAAAGAGCAGATTGTTAATCTAAATCTGCACAGGAAACGTGTAGTGAGTTAAGACTCCAAATTTGGCTTCCAGTGGGCAAGTTCATTTGTATGCATTTCTTCTGATATTTATAGGTTATCTTCCTCCTTCATACAGTGTACAATGCCTGGATGCAGGAACATGGAGGAGTCATTGTCAACATTACTGCTGCCGTGAGAAATGGGTTTCCTGGAATGTCGTAATACATATTTTATTTTTACATTTTCCTATGTTTTTCCCCTAGAAGTACTAATTGCTCCTAAATACTTCATTTTAGAAAGGTACGCACTGGGCAGCAGCAGAGTATAGAAATACAGTAGTATGAGGTCAAGAGAGAGCAATAGTATCACTTGGCTGTATGCCTGGGGATCTGACTGATTCAGTAGAGACTACAGGAGTAAATGACATCTCTGGTAACTGTCAACTTGTTTGTAAGAAACTATGAAGGAAGACTTGCCAGTGAAGCTTTCACTGGAAGTGGTATGCTAGTGAGACTAGTTGCACTGAAATGTAACTTTTACTTGTGCTCTCCCCAAATTTCTGGAGGGTTTGCAAGAACTTGGCACCTGTTGTTTTCCTCTTCTACTGTCAGTTTACAGGTCTAGATGGTGTAATGAGTTATATGGGAGTTGTACTGGGAGTAGGAGGAACATTTCTAGTATGTTACCAGGTTTTGGCTTTGTCCTTTGGGTCACGTAATGCCTGCCTTTCCCATTTTCCTTTTTACTCTCACTTTGTAGTCATCTTTCTTGGAGGAGGTCTCTGATGCAGAGAATCGGTTCTATTTGCTCTGCTCCTTTCTTAACTGGGAGAAGGCTCATGGGTACAAACATATTACCACGTTTGTAGTTCTTATATATTGACACAAATGATCACAGCTGTCTGCATGAAAATGCAGCATCCTCTCCGTATCTGTATGTGTAGTATATTTGTTCAAATTTCTTTACCCTCAAAATGGAGGTGAGCAGGAGTCTTCCAATTTGAACCTTTTCCACCAAAAAGGTTCCAATTTGTTGAAAGAGAAATAATGCTCAGAAAAATGAATTATTTCAGTTATTTTCTTTTCAAAGGAAATTTTGCACGTCAAAATGCTGCATTTTGACAGTTTCTTAATTGAAAAAAAATCTGAATTTCTTCTTTGAAACTATCTTTTTTTTTTAACTCTGAAATTGAATTTCTATTTAAGAAAATATAAAAACATAATTTGAGCAAATGTTACATTACCTCTCTTTGTCCTGATGCAGGGTTGAAAGTTTTCAAAATGTAAAGTTTTTAAGGAACAGCAGAATATTTTCTCACTAGCTTGTTCTTGGCAGTACAAAATAAATTTAGAGATCCACATGGTGGTGCTGAAGCTACAGTTATTTGAGTTTCTCCACTCTGGTTAAGTCTGGTTGAAGTGTCATGGCAAATAGGCTGAAGCTATATTTGAGAGTTGAACCAAGAGATAAAAAACCTAATTCTGAATAACGGTGGAAAAAAGTTTCCCAAATAACTGTTGTATGTGGATGTAGATGGATAGACAAAACTACTAGTAAATTAAATTCCTGTTGAATTGACACATGTTTTAGAAATGTACTGCTGAAAAAGACTTGCCTTTACAAGTCCAGCCACGACTCATGCCAAAAATCACCTGATGCAGTTTTTCATAAGTATTAATTTTGAACATAAAACTAGTCAAGTTTGTTTGCTCATAGTGTGCCTGGAGGTTATTTATTTCTGGCCTAAACATATGAATAGGTTGTGTTTTCTTCTGTTTTTCTTAAGTTTTCTTATTCCTTTCCTGGTATTTGAGAAGCTATTCTATCTATCTCCTTTAAGTCTGTTCTGCTATGCTAAAGGAACTAAACTCTATTAGTTTTCTCTGAGTCCCACTGTCCGCTGTTCATCACTGCAGTAATTTTGTCTGCATTTGTTCAAGCTTGTAATCATTTCAGACTAGTTTCCTATAGCAGCAAGGTGTATGAGATCACTCTGCCTGTAGTTGTTTCCATCTCCATCCACCTACAGTAATTTTTGAATAGTGGCTTATTTTAATCATGTTTGTCAGAAGAGCTAAACTATTTTTCGGACCACTGTCCTTGCAAGTGTTGCTTTACCTGTGCAGCCTACCTTTCATAGTTTTACACAGTTTGAACTTTGCCTCCAGTTGTTTTCCATTTTATAAGCCTGCTTCTGCAGTAGAATGTAGCTGACCTTATGTCACATTGGGGAAGAGATGATAAGTATTTCCAGAAATGACAGGAAATCATAGCATAGCTTGTTTAAACTGTGAAGCTATGGTCAAACTTACAAACTAAAAAAACTCTCTCTCTCAGATGGTTGGTCCAGCCATAGAAAGCTACTCTGCCTACCCTAGTGAGGCTGCGGTAGAATTAACATTGGGCACTGTTAGCTGAGGGAACAGAAGCTTCTTTTGCTTTCTTTTCTCAATAGGCATACAGGAGCTGCAAGAGCTGCAGTGAATAACCTAACCAAGAGTTTAGCTTTAGAATGGGCCCACAGTGGAGTAAGAATCAACAGCGTTGCTCCTGTAAGTAACGGCAAACGATCTGATTAAACTTAGCCATCATACATGTTCATGGTTAAAACTTTCAGACCAAAAGGGATTTTAAAATCTGTAACCTGTAACTGTTTGTGGATTATTTATGTATTTATTTATTTATAATTCCCCTACATTCTTCAGGTCATTTGAGACTGCTTTGTACTGTTTGTATGACAAGCCAGAGGTGTGGGATAAAATTGCTTGTGCTTTCTCCTTTGACTTGGCACTCTTGGTGGTTTGTTGGTTTTTTTTTTTTAGCTTAATGAAATGATACCTGGAAGGAGTTGGTGACCTGTCTTGCAAACTCTTGACATAAAATTACGGAATGCTTTGTGTTTCAGTAACGATTACATTATATCTGAGTTCACAATACTTTTTCTATTTGAGGTTCAGGTATGCTGATGGTTTCCACCTGTGTTTACAAAGTTGTTCTGAAAATCTCTGAATGTATCACATAATGTCTTTTACTTTGTCTTCTACATGTTAAGTTAGATTAGTTTTAGGCATAAAAGGTCTGTATTTCAAGTGGACCTTCTCTCAAAGAAATTATATGTAAAAATGTGTGTTCTGATATTTTTTTCTTGTCAAATATATGCAGATAGGAAACCACTATACAGGTCAGCTAAAATATGCCTGCCACATTTCTGAGGAGGTAGGTAGTGTGTAGCAGTTGTTTTAAGCAATTGTATGGAAAGAGCAGCTATATTTTCTAGCGTATGGTGCTGCAGATATAGAGGCTATATAGAAGCCCTAGCTTTGACATTTGAGATTGTGTGATCTGTTGTGATTTGTGTAATCTTCACTCTTAACCACAATTCATTTTGCACATTTACTCCCTTGAAAAATCAAAGAGGAAAGGTAAACTTTGTCCAGCTACTTCTACATTCAGAATTTATCTTATCTCACAGTATAGTTAAGTGTCAGATTTGTTTAAGTCTTCCCTAGGAAGATCTTTCTACGAAGATCTTTCTACTATCTTTGTAGGATGTCTGTATATCCTGTTGTGCCTCTTGTCCTAAAACATCTGGCTCGCTTACTTTGGCATAGCACAGAATGCTTAATGGCAGATTTGTGATGATCATTCAGGTGGTGGCTCTTAGGTAGCTTCTGTGAGGCCCAGCTCATCTGGAGACTTGTTAAATATTAAGATCTACTGGCTTGTTTTTCCTGTTCATTTGTTTTTTCTGATTTATCAAGTCTTGGGTAAGTAAGTAATTAAGACAGCATTATTATGTGAATATATTTTTCAGGCCTGCTAATTACCTAATGAATCATACTAATTATACTTTATAGCACACATCAGAAGAAGTTTTTGACAAGCAAACACTTCAGTGGTTTTGCTCTTTCAGTAGTATTTGCTAGCTTTGTTACTATGCTGGTAAAAATCGATGTTGTAGTTACAGTAATACATTATATCCTTCTGTCACCTTTGTGGACACAGTAGGTCTGTGGTAACCATACAAAACTGTTACCGCTTTATAGGAGGAGAGTAAAATGTAGGGAATGCGTAAATAGAGAGGGAAACAGGCATTCTAAAAAAAAATAGTTTCACATGTGAGTTACTTCCCTAGCTCCCAAAATATAGTCACTCACATTTCACAGATATCTTAGAAGAGAAGTCTTAGCATGTACTCCATCGATGAATTCAAATTTTGTTATCTTACTTAAACTTGAGTCCCAAAGGTTCTGTCATAACTAATCTATGTAACCCTGTGTGCCCATTGCTGTAGCCTTCATCTTCCCTCTCAAGTCTAAACTGGACTGTATAATCATCAGAGCAAAGACAGTCGCCTTTTTCTATTTCTATAGCAGCTAAGTAGGGAGAGTCTGAATTCTGATTGTGAAATCTGTCTGCTTCCATAATTCACAATAAAATCAATCTAGTGTTCTTACAGATTACAAGAAACTGTTGAGAACTTGTTCTTAGGGCTTTGTAGTTTTCTCACTTCTAGCTTACTTATTAGCTTCTTTGTAAGCTAATATGAAATGCTTGTAATTTCAAAACAGTCTTTGAGCTTCTTCTTTATACTCTCCCCTTTATAGTTATTGAAATGACAGTGGAGAATTGGAATAATCTGAATTATTGCATTTGAACAGAGATGTGACTAGCAGCCAAATTACCTTCTTGTATAAATTATACTATTCCATTAAATTTAAAAACTTGCATTCAAGTGCTGTTTAGATAGTTTAATCCCACAGAAAATCCCAGTAATGACAACTTCACAATTTTACAATGATCACAGTTTAAACATATGCAAGAGAACTTAATTTTCACTATGCTGTTTTAAAATAGGGAATAGTATTTTCAGAAACTGCTGTTGCAAACTATGGAGAACAAGGTACAATGCTGTGGTTAAAGAGCATACCAAAGGTTCCTGCGAAGAGGTCAGCGGTTCCTGAGGAGGTAATGTATTTCACAACATTTGTGATATTTCTACTTCCGTGTTTCTATTTTGAAGCCACTTCATTATATGGAGAACAAAAAAAGACTTAATTTTGCACTGTGATGGAATATTAAAAAAGAAAAAAGCTTGTAGTAATGTGTAGTAGTGCCGAGTGGGAGACTTAACCAGTAGTCACTGTTACACTGAAAATTTAATTTAGATGCCTCTTACAGCTGAAGTGTTTCATAGTAGACATTAGTTCCTCAAAATATTGACTTCCAGCAGGGAGGACTGAAAGAATGAATATTAATTTGAAAAAAGTGTATCTTAAAAGTACTTAGCTCTCTTCCACCAAGAATGTGCTTCTTTGATAAACTGGTCAACTTTTTTGTTTGATTTTTGGCATCTGATGCTGATCTTTGAGAGCTTACTGGTTTTCATCTGTTACGTACTGATGTTTGTGGCTAGAAAGATGGCTTTAAGACTGTTATGGTTCTCATTACTGAGTAGAAAACGTTGCTATCTCTTGCCTGTAAAAGTTTTTACAAGCATCTTTGACATGAACAATTCCCAGCAGTTTAAGAAAGATAAAAATAAAATCTAAAAAAATCAATAAAAAATGATAAAATTGTCATTCTTTTGTTAGATCTCTCCTGCAGTGTGTTTCCTACTATCTCCAGCTGCTTCTTACATAACTGGGATAACCATGGTCGTGGATGGTGGCCAAAGTTTGTATAGCCATACCCTAGAAATACCCGGTAAGAAATGGGCTACAAAATAATGCCCTTCAAGTGATTGAAGTTGGGCAATGGGAGGACTCAAAAGTAAAATGCCTAGTTTCTCAATCAACTTAAGTATGTTGTTTTATTTGTTTTCCTCAGATCACGACAGATGGCCCTCACCACCAGAAGGAAAAAATACTGAAATGCTTAAAAAGCTTCTTTCTGGCAAGTTCAAGCCAAAGCTGTAAAAGAATGAGATTTCACCTTACTCCCAGTTGCACTCTTGCTGATAATCTCGCTTTGTGATTTGGGCTTATTATTCTCAGTAATATATTTTTTTTGCTCATATGTAACTACATTGAGTGCCTTGATTTTTGTTCGTTTATATATTTAAAACTTGAAAGGCTGTACATAGTAAATTTCTTCTCTGAAAACACTCACTGCCCTGAAAACATTCAGTCTTTTGGGAAGGGAAGGTATAAAAGACAAATTCTCCATTTGCACAGGGATTAAGTAATGAAGAATCTCAGTCAGAAGTGAATAAAAAAAATACTTATTCTGAAGTGAAGGGGGCAGAGAGGGAATGTTTCGGAATCCTTCTGTTCTGGATGAATTTGGGGAGAAGGTAATTTAAATCTCTGTTATCATTAGTTGCATCAGTAACCCTTGAGGTAGCTGTTAACGCTACACTATTTCTGTTCAGCCACACACTGAATGTTCAACAATGATTTTAAAGACTAAGTAGAGTAGGTATTTCTCTGAAAAGAATTAAAAATAAGGCAGAATACTGTTATTAATGTTTCAAACTAATATGGCATGTCATATTTGGAATGTTTCGAGTTGTTTACAGATATAACGACATAATGGAGTTAAGCTGGCTGCAACTTAAATTTGATCATAGAATAATCAGATAATAAACTTAAGATTTAACATATGGTGATGGAAAACAGTATAGATTCAACAATTTAGCATGCAAAATCTTGAAGCAAAAGCTGTGGTGTATATTGTGGTGCTTTCTGCAATGTGCTATACTGTTAAAGGAGAAACTGGGAATCCTTCTTTTACCAATTAAAATGTTTTCTATCCATACTGTGTTGTCTTACAGTGTTAACACAATTTTGTTCATCAGTGTCTCTAAAATAGGTGTGATTTTTGTGATCAATGCAGAGATTCCATTTAAAAACCAGAAATCTTGCAATATATCTCTCAAAGAGGCTATATTTGTCATTACTCACTTTTTTAAATTCACTTTAAGGCAAGCGTTCCCATGTCTGATAACTTCAATCAAAATATAAAAAATAAGTGATGACTGTGTTTGCTGTAACAACTGAAATTTGTGGAATCAAGTTGCTGCTGTAGAAGCGACCTCTTTAATACTTCATTTTGGATTGAATGTAAGAGTCTCTGCCAGTTGTTTGTTCTTTGCAAAGATGTTTCACTTTTGTGTCTTTCATTAAAATATGGGAACTTATATAGGTACATGTAGATTGCTTTTTCATGAAAATCTAAATGCCAGTTTTGTGAGGGAGGAGGGGTTTGAGCCAAAATGCTTTCTCCTTCAGATATATCCTCTTTCCTTAGTAACTGGGTGGTCATTGATGTGGTTGTGAGAAACTTGTGCAGAGATAAAATCAGCTTTTTTCAAACCTCTTGTGCAAGGTATGTTTTGATTATTGCAAATATTAGTTCAGGATACACAGAAAGAGAATTCCTGGAAGCAAATGCACCTATTAGATAACTAACTCTAGAAGCCTAGCCCATTGCATTTAAGTGAAATTATTTAGTTTGTTAAGAGATTATTTCTACATTCTTAACATCTTTCTGTAAAAGAAGGTTAAACATGAACAGGCTTGAGACTTGCGGGATTTACTTTCTCTTCATGTTTGACTGTGAGCCTCCATGTTACGTGTGGACTGTAGATTGGATGTGAAATGGAAGTGATTTGATAAAACTAAATTACTTGTATTATATCCCAGAACTTCTCTCTACAGGATTTGAGCATAAACTTGGAAATAATTATTTTATACTGTTGCAAATTTCCTCTTTAACTTTGCTGGAGTCTGAATATTCATAAAGAAGCAAGTTTATACATAATGATGGTGAAATGCATCACTCGGTGAAACGGAACATTAGAAAGGTGAGCGTTCTCCTGTGTGGGAGACATGTTCAGTCTGCAATTAATAAACTCCTCCGCAAGTAAGAACTATAACAAACCTTTCCGCTTGCACTGACTACAAGGAGCTTTTATTTGACCTTGCCTTCTTCAACTTCCAGCAAAGCAATGGATGTATTAAGAAGGTCTAAGCTAGTTCTTTAGAAGAGGCTTGTTCCTGTGTGTGCTTTTTTCCTTATATTATATTTATTTATATATATATAATATTTCTTCTATATATAAAATAATTTCTTTAAAATTATTTTAAAAGTTTTGCAGTGCCTTGCAGAAACTCAGTGTTGTATCAGCTGGCAGCATGAATGTTTCAGGTTTCTGCTGTTAGTGCTGCAGATAATATCAGCTGTAGCAAAGCTCTTCCTACACCGTTGTAACAACAGCCCTTGATCAAAGGGCATTGAGAGGTTAAAAAAAATGGGTGTGGTAACAAAAACATCCTTGGCCTGTATAAGATTTGGGTATCGGAAGTTCAGAGAACAGGGCTTGATTTTATTTCTTTATTTTACAAGGGAGGTGAATGCAACTGTGGGAAAAGGGCTAAGGAACCTTAGGAGAAATCAAGGAGATTTATTGACCAAACACTGAAACTTAAACGTTTGCTGCACTGTACAGTTGTAATAAGCAAAGAGAAGAATGTTAGAATGACAGTTATATTTACCATTCTGTTCGATATCTCTTTTCAGTTGCTTTAGTACTTACTTCTGGCTGAATGCGTACCTATTCTGCATACCCCTTATCAGATATTCATTTGACTGATAAATGGGTGCTTATCAGCTGCTACTTTGCTCCACTGTCTGGTGTTATATCTGAATATGTGTCGTAGAATTTTACATTTATGAAAGCAGTGTAGGGTGCATTCTCCCCCCCCCCAGAAGGGGAATTTTTACTTGCCTTATGTTTTACAGATACTCTTTGTGTTAAGCAGAATATTGATTATTCAGGGTATTTATCTAGCGTAAAATGAAGTTTGATTATTCAGGGGTTTTAATTAGTGTAAAAGGAAGTCTGTGTTGTAAGAATTTTCGTTCTTTAAAGATTAACAGTCGTCATGTTTGCTAAAGGGAATATAGTCTGTGCAGTGTCATTCTGCAGTAAGGTCCATTGTCTGCCTTAAGATGTAAATGAACAAATGCGAGGCAACAATTGCTTGTTACAAGCTTTTATGGCTATGTTTAGTTTTCTGAATAGTTGTATAGAATATCCTGTATAGTCTTTAAGAAAGCATGCTATTTGCCAGATAGTGTGATTTCATATACTTCTAATCAGCATCTCCTAGTTTACTCTTGCCATCTCAAATAGCAGACTTCTGTTAAATGGCTGAGTAACGTAGACAATGGGGGAATAATTTTATTAGTAAAGTCAACAGTGCCTGTGTTCTGGATATGGCTGAGTCATAAAGGTAAATGAGTTGCTTCATAAACTTCAATGATGGGGTTGGAGCAGGCAAACCTATCAGTACTGCTGCCCAGTCTCATTTATAGTGTGCTTTTTCTAGAGAAGCAACTCCATACCTGAATGACTACTGTATTTTTCCCATACTTTGGTCTGTTTCAAGTATTATAGACAAGTCACTAGCTGTCTGCTCTTTATTTATTTTGTTCTGGAGCTAAACTTAAATGTCTTGGGCAGTGGGAATGCATCCTGAAATGCAAAATACCAATTATGATGGGAGATTCCAGTCTGGGTAAGAAATACAGTTGCTAGGGGGGAAGATGAAGCCTCTTATGAATCTTCCAGCAGTGGTTCGGGACTGTCGTCCCCAAGCTATTTGCTCTTACTCTCTTTTGGCATCAGCCTCACGGTGATGGTGCATTTGTATTGGGAGGAACTGGAACTACTGAGGTGCAGGCACATGTTTGTTTCTGTCATGGAAAGGCAGAGGAGCATAGCAGACAGGTAGGACTAGCAAACACTTGAAATAATACTGTTGTTTGCTCAATGCATGCGAGCTGGATTTAAATTTATAAACAGAACGTTGGCCCTCCTGCTGGTGAGGAAGGACTCTTGATCATGTTATAACATCCTGGCATCACAAACTTTACGCTACTGCTGTTCCCAAAAGAAGCCATTTTGCCTTCCCTTATCTGCTCTGTGTCCAGCAGCTTGTTCCTTTGCCAGTTAACCCCTCTTTTGATTAAAAATGTATGAAATTAATCACTTAGTTAACTAGATCCTTTTCTGGATGTAGTTCAAAACGTCGTAACATGGTAATATGGTGCCAGCTATAGGAAGGAGCGGTGGGGAGGCAAAGAAACTTGGGGAGGAAAAGGAAGATGATGGCATGGCCATGAAAAGGGGCTGGTTTGTTCCCATTTAAAGTGTTTAGACGCTATAGGTTTAGTGCTAACTAATACAGGCGCTTGTTAGCCTCATGCAATACATCTAGAAGGTGAGAACCTCTTACTGCAATGAGGTATTGATTCTGGAACCCAGGGGTTGATTCTGGAATCCAGGGCGAGCCATACTGCCAGATTTCAGTCAATTGCTTGAGCAGACTATCCTAAGATGTGCTTACCCTATGATTTTCACCCCTGCTCCTCCCAACTTCCATCGCCTGCACAGGGCTTGTACTGAATGCATAAATAACTAATATGCTTTATTGCAACTTCTGTCATCTATTTTTATACTCTTCCATATCAGCAATTACACTGTTCCTATAAGCTTTATTTTGCTCCAGTAGTACGACACGTGATCTCAGAACCATGCCCCTGGGTTTGGGCTGAGCTCGGTGTGAGCCAGTGTCATAAGTGCTGGTCCCTGGTGTCGATAGATTTATTTTTATTTTTTTTAATCTCAAAGTCAATATTTAGCTGTTTATCCTGCTCCCGATACTGAAGATGCTCTGTTTGAGGGATTATGGCAGAGTAGCGCTGATGCCTGTCAGGACGTACATCACTTCTGCAAAGCTCTCTTGGGATGGTGCTCACAGTGCAGTGAGAGTGCCCTGCGCTGTTTGGGCTTTGTGCAGAAACACAAAGGACCACACGGGCAGAGGAATGTGGGATGATTTTCCACAACCCTTGCTAGCTTCTTCTGTAGCGAAGGAGCTCTGACTTCAAATCCTACTGTTCACTAACTCTTCCTCCATCAGTGAAATCCATTTGCAAGATGCTAAAACTGACGAATGGCCATGAACTGGAACATTAAGGCAAGGGAAACACTGGATGTGTTTTCAAAGCTGTGTAAGCAGCTGTGGCTCATTGATCTTGCTTGATGGTGCAGGAGCATCACACAAGGCCAGCATTTTTCTT